CTGAGAATGGCTCGACCTAATCAAAAGTCAGATCAGCACAAAATAAGGGAAAGTTGTATTTGTCACTTCCTTACCTAAAAACTTGACAGTGTCTTCCCATTGGTCTTAGGATAAAATTCAAACTTCTTGAAATGATTTACAGGACATTTCATGATTCGCAACTAAAACTCCTCTACTGCCATGGCACACACTCCTCTTTGAACTCAATTCTTCTTTCTCATGCTATTTGCTTCAGCCAGTGTTTCTCAAATTTCACAGAGCACCCCATCAGAGGGCTGTTAAATCAACCTAATGAGACAAAAACAATGTATTTTCTATGGCAAACATACTTTTAGTTTAGAAATACACAAAATGTAGAAGTTAAACAGCTTTTTTTTTTTCAGTTCTGAACTACCAAAATAATTTGTCTAAGAAAATACTCCAGAAATATAAAACTGCAATCCAAATATTCCAAGAGGGGTCATAATGACATCCTCCCAAGACACATATACCTGAAAAACCTACTCATGGAATGTTATGAAATTCCAAACCCTATTTTCCACCCCCTGAGCCCTATCACTGTCTCATCTTCCTCCCCTTAGCAAACTCCTGGAAGAAAACAGCAATGAAGGGGTGGACACACACACACACACTTGATTAAGGAAACTTCCCTTAGACTGCCATTGCCCCACCATGCAAGCATAAAGAATCCACACTAATTGACAGAGGAAAGAAAAATCTCCACCCTGCTAAAAGGGGGACAGGTGGGGGGGGGGGGGGAAGGAATCACTTCTAGTTAGTAGAAAAAATAAAAAATAAAAATTATCAGGCCCAGGTCCTGTGGGCTGTCATCTGGGGATATAATCTTGTCAGAAAATTTGTCTGGAACGTGAGAATAAGCAAAGAAATCACCAGGTGTTCTTTCAGTACTTTCAATTATTGAGCTATTTTACAACTTGTTAAGGGCAGAGGTTAATTTCTAGAATTTTGTCAAGTAGAGATAGAAATAATTTCAGACCAGTGGAAACATAACTACAAAGATTACAGTTTTTGGCCCTGTTAAATTAACCGTTTTTTTTTTTTTTTTTTTTTTTTTTTTTTTAACAAGGCAGCAATCTATGATATTAGTTATGTATCTAGCTTCTCAAATGCTTTTTGGACTCATTTTTACATCTTACTGGTTCCCTTCCTAATTAATGAGTTGAAGAAAATCTTCAACACATATTCATTTTGTATTTGCATGAGTCATAATTTTGCTTTTATGAACATTATACTTTTAACCACTTTTAACATTGTTTCTGTAAGTGATCATGGGCTATACATTCGAAATAAACATTTTAAATTTTCAATCACTTAAATTTGACTGGATTTTTAAAATATACAGCTCTAAATTGGCGAAGAAGCTGCAACTTGGAATAAGAATAACTAACTTAAGTCCTATTATAACAGAATAAAGTATACTGTATATCTCTGAATCATTACTATAAGGTCAAAGGTCTCATTATGGTTAAAATATGTAGGGAGAATATCCTCTAGGAATAGGGAAAAAATTAGACTGACAAAAAAAAAAAAACAAAGCTGAAGGACAAGTCAATAAAACCAAAGAGAGTTCAGAACACTGGATCTCCTCTACTCTGCACATTAGAACTGCCTAAGGAATATTTTACAATGTTGGAGGCTTGGGCCCTATCCTCAAAAATTAAATCTGAAAATCCAGAAGTGCAACCCAGGCATCATTTTGTTTTTTTTTTTTTTTAAAGTTTAATTCTCACCACAACTACTTTACCTGGATGTTTTGGACTCTCTCCAGCCTTTTTTTCTGTGTTCAAAATAATGAACATAATTACGGCTGATAAGAATGCTTTTATTACCTCTACATCAATGAAAAGGAAGATAGTTTAAATAAAAGTACATGTAAGAGTAAGTATTCATGTTGGGTTCAGAGTTAATTGAGGAAAATAGACTCTACACAGTTAAAAGTTGCTGTCAAATGAAAATCAAACTTGTATAAAGATCTCAAAAAATGCCACATAAACCAATAGGAAAACAGATTTTGCTGCATAAACCACAATTAGGCATAACTATCTACTCATCTACTCAGTATGGGCATGTATCATTGTGGACTGAAAAAGGGCAGTAAAATATCAAAATGTGAACCTAAGCTTCAATTTATGAACCAAACAAAACTGAAGTTTAAAAAAAAAAAGCTAGCTTCAATATATTATATTCTGGGATTCAGAGAGACAAGGCAATTTAGAAAAAATCCTTCTATTTGCTGAATCCACCTTCTTAGTTTCCATTTTTTCCATCTCCCCTTCTGTCAAAGTTTCAAACAATCTTCATGTTGTTAGACTGGACCATCACCATCCACCCAGTTGTTGAAGTACAAAGCCCAGAATTATATCCTTAATTCCTCCACTTTCTCCCACCACCCTTATCCCATACAACAGCAGTCATGTCAATTCCTCCTCCAAAACATATATTGATACCTTATATTCCTTTCCACCTTTTCTAATACCATCTTAAGCCAATATACAAATGTATTTAGCCTGGACTGTTACTCCTGTCTGAACCTGTCTCCCTGCTTCCACCCATGATCTGACCCCCTCTAAAATGGATGCTACCACTGTAGCCAGGGTAATGAAGACTTAATATATTGTCACTGCTCTCTTTAAAAGTCTCCAAAGGCTTTTGATAGCATCAGAAAAAATCCAAATGCTTTATTATCATAGCATTCAGGCCCCTGCAGCATATAGGCATTTAGCTCCTGCCTACTTTCCCAACATCTTTCCTTATGGTTCTCCTCCATGGCCCTCATTCCAGTCAAATATTTTAAGCATTTGCTACTGGACTATGATGCTCTTTCCCTAGCTTTTCACATGGCTGCCTTCCTCTCATCCCTCAGATTCCAACTGAAATGACTTCCTCATAGAGCTGTTCACACACCATTTTAGTCTTCTCTTCACCATCTATCACATGACACTTCTTATTTTCTTCATTATGTTTATCACAATCTGTAAAAGTGTGCGTGTGTGTGTGTGTGGTGGTGCTATTTATTTTCCTTCCTTTATGGGAAGCAGACTCTACTGGGAGCAGGGATCGTGTTTGTCCTATATGCTACTGTTTCCTAGCGTCTAGAATAATATATAGCATATAGTGGGCACTCAATAAGTATTTGTTTTATCAATAAATACTCAAATGGTAGCATGGTCTACAGGGATGCACTAGAAATGAAATTGCCTTGGTTCTATTAGACTTGGCCCTACCAACAATTAGTTGTGTGGCCTTGGATACACCACAAGATTGGAGTGGGTTAAAAGTAACTGGAAGATAAGAAAGTGGAAGCAGCAAGAATGAAATTTTTTTTTTCCCTAAATATCCTTATCTATCTAAATTCAAGAATATAGACATATGGAAGCCTTTAACCTCTTGGAGACTCAGTTCACTCATCTGTATGAGATTACTTTGGAGGTCACTTCCAGTTCATAAATACCAGAATTATATGGGCCTCAACCTGAAACTTCCCTTACCCACCCCTCATTTACACCCCTTCTACCCCTATGAACCTAATCAAGGTATTCACCCTGAAACCAAACATCACACAGTGCACTTTACTACCTATACCTTTGCTCATGACACTACCTCTTTAACTCCAACTACCGAAAATTCTATCGTTCAAAATCCATATCAATTGCTACCTGCTTCATAAAGTCTAATCCAATCGGCTAGCCCAGGGCCGGCCCGGTGGCGCACTGCTATAGTGCGCCGCTTGGGAAGCGCGGCGGCGCTCCCGCCGAGGGTTCCGATCCCACATACAGACCGGTTCCCGCTCACTGGCTGAGCGAGGCGCGGGAGCAACACCGAGGGCTGCGATCCCGTTGCCGGTCCCGGTCCGGTGCGGGGGCGACACTGAGGGTTGCGATCCGTTGCCGGACACGGAAAAAGACAAAAAAAAAAAAAAAAAAAGACAATCGGCTAGCCCAAAATTGTATGATCATTATGTGTTATGGAATTCCTTCGTGCTTCAAATTAGAGTACTCCCTGATCTTACCACTACTTGCTTGGACTAGTGACTTAACCTCTCTAAGCTTCAATTTCCTAATCTGTAAAATGGAAATGAAAAAATCTACCCTGCCACAGATCATTGTTGGATAATTGAGAATACTTAGCTTGATAATAAATATACAATTTATGTGCTACACATATTTTTTGTGCTCCGAGGGGCCGAAAATGTCTTCCCTTTCTGAACCTCCAAAGGTTTGAAACTATTTCACCTCCCAATGCTTTGAGTTTTCGTATTCATAAAATAAAAGGAATGGATTAGACCAATTACCATTCTTTCTAAAAATGAAGTTATATATTTATACCCCAACATTGCCTAAAGCAAAGATACCACAGGTGAGGTTCTGTAAGGAGGGGAATTCGAGGGGGGAACTACTGCTGCGAAAGGAAGTAGGCGGAGGCATGCAAGTTTTAATAACATTCGATTTTGGGGATCCTTTCCAAAAAATTCCTGACTCTTGCCACAGTGATGGATGCTCTGAACTGTTGTTTTTCAGTTGGGCTACAAGGATGAACTTGGGGTCCGTGAACTCCCAAAAAGAGATGTAAAATTGTGCACCGGCCCAAATATCCAAATTTTTCTGGGGCAAAAGTGTCTACACCAGACATTGTTTACAACAGTCTGTGCCCCAAAGGGTCGAAAAAGATTTCAATTAAGAGACTAGTCGCGTTAGGGAGGAAAATGTAAACCACAAATGGACGAGAGTTTGGACAACAAATGCAAAGCTCCTCACCTAACCCTAACCCCAGCGAACGGGAAGATGATGACCTATAACCGAGGGAAGAAGCAGGGGCCCTCCAGAAACCCTAAGGCATTGGCCGGGTTGTGGGGGCACGTTTGCGGAAGCGGTGCAACCTCAGAGCTTGGCACTTTTCCCAGGCCAGCCTCCAGCCCGCTCGCCCGCAGCGCGATATCCCGGCCGAGGCCCCTCAGCAAGCCCCGCTTGCCACCCCCGTACCTGCGGGGTCGAGCGCCATCTCGGCGGGCGGAGAAGGTAGCCGCGTGAGGGCTCCGGAGGCAGAGGGCGGGGAGCGGAGGGAAGGGGCTGGGCTCGGCTACACGTGAGGTCCCCCGGAGCTTCCCGCGGTTGGTGGAGGAGGAGGAGCTTAGCGCCCTTCGTGACACACGGTCAGACCCCTATCGCTCTTCCTCCCCTAGTTCCTACTTCCGCCTCTCACTGTGCCTGCGCGCCCTTGGCTCCGCCCCTAATCCTATAACTCTCGAATAGAACCGACTTCGCGAGGGAATGACCCGGGAAGGGGGCATGGCTGAGCGCGCGTCTTGGGGGCGGGACCGTCTCAGGCGCGGTCTGGCTATTAGAGGCGACGGTGGTGGGTTGCGGTTTTCCGTGGTCGGAGCCAAACCTGTAGGCCTTTGGGACAGCTCCTCCTTTGGCGACGGGGTCACAGTCCGAGTCCCTCCCACATACCCACCTCCAGAGAACCAAATTAATCATCCCGTTCATTTTTTTTCCAAGGTTCATTCATTCATAAATGTCTGTTTCCAGCCTGCCAGGTTCCCGCCACAGTTCTGAATACTAGGAGAAACTAAGTTAATAGAAATAAGGTCCCTAGTCTCAAGGAGCACAATGTCGGCAGGGGAGTCAGATGTGCTGTTAAATGTGATAAACGCCACACGGCGCGAGATGAGCACAGCTTGTTCTACCATAAAAGTGATATAGTGTGAACAGTATCATTTCTCCTCCAAATCAGCTGACCTGGAGGTTAAAACTGGGCGCTGGTGATATCTCTGTATTGTGGAATAATATCTTCAGGGCATACAGTTACAAATCCCGACTCTGTCAATTTAAAGCCATACGTTTTATGAGAAAGCTGACGGACGGTAATGGCTGTCCTCCCTAGGACCCCAACTGCCCTTCGGAATAGCAGAACCGTTCTGGGTGGCACTTAGGTTCATTTCCACTCACCAACTAGCCTTCAGAAGTGCTTCCTTGTCAAATTCTCGTTTTAACTAGCTCGAGCCTCCAAAGGCTGAGGTGCGGCCAGGGACAGATGGGACAGATGTTTAGAAAAACTAGGAGCAGCTGCTTCTTCCCTGTGAGGGATTTAGTGCTTTCAAAATGATCCCCTCCCCACCTACCTGCAGTCTCTCCTCCCCTGCTGCTGCTTCCGCCTGGTCAGTTGGCAGAAAAGCTGACGCAGTTGAGCGGGGCTGGGAAAGTGGGTCTCTGCTCAGCAGGTCTTCCGTTTAAGGAAGCCTATTTGGGCCTAACGGCCTTTATTACAACTGTAGGTTGAGGTGCCAAGGTGTAGAATTAACGTTTCACTCAGCCAGGCAGGAAATCGGGTCCTTTTCCTTGTATGTTTTATAAATATGCTTAGAAACACACCAGATTCACTCTGGTGCCCCTTTTGTTTTTCTGGAGGTGATTTAATTTAGAAAGCTAAAAGCAAATCTTTTTGAGGAGAAGAGGTGTGATGTAATGACACAGGTCAGACACCCACAGTCAAGTAACTAAACTAAATCTTTCTATATGCAAAGGGTATCACAGTAAGTGGAGGGGGGAGGAATAGAGGAGTTTGCAGGGCTTCAGTCAGAGACCTGGGTACCTTCACTTGAATCTTGTAGGATAACCTATTAACTTTGTGACTTAAATACTCCTAAGTTCCATCATTTTTCTGGACTTTAGTTTCTAGTTTGCAAATTTGTTCTTAGGAATAAATGTGATATCATATAAGAGATTCGAAGGACATCGAAGGATCACTTCTACGGTTTTTGCCATAGCTACAATTTAAATATTATTATTTAATATTTTTTATTTAAATCAACTCATTTTTTAAAAAACTTAAATAGGCACTTATCCTAAGCAATATTATCTGTAAAATTAAGGATTTTGTGTGCCCCATGAAATGGATTGCTAGTCATATCACACCATGAGAAACACTAGCAAAATAGCAATTCAATGTCTGATATAAAATAGTTTATCCCTCTTCACTCTTATATTAAACTAGATACTTTTGGGGGAAACAGAGCCTTTACACTCTAACTAGGGAAGATGTCATTTTAAAAAAAATTGAATTACAGAAATTTAATTGGCAATTCAAACCAGAAGAAATTTCCTAAGGCCTGACATTATTAATAGACATTCTTTGGCCAGTAACTGCATTCAGAGCTTTAAAGAGAAAGTCACATTGTCCTGGAAATTAGGAACTGTGTATTATCCAACCATGATCCCTAGAGCTCACACCATGTCTGGCACCTAATGGCCTGACAGTAGCCTTTCATGAAGGATTAAATGCCAGGGTAGTTAGGAAAGACTTTAAAGGTAAGTTAGCAATTATCGTTGGCCTTGAAAGAGGTGTAGCATGGGCAGGCAGAGTAGAAGGCATGTCATGCTGGATAAAAATGGGAGCAAAAGCATCTGAGATTTGAGCTGTTTTTGAAAGACAGCTGGAACATGGAAGAGGTAGAGGCTAAGGAACGGAACCATAGGAGCAAAAGTGCAGGAGTGGGAAGCACAGAGCTGTGTGTTGGGCATGTGGAAGGCAATGCCTGAAACCACTTCAATGCATTTGAGGATTCGAGGTCAGTGAGTTTGTGCTTAGAAGAGTCCGGGTTCCCATAGCTGAGGGTTCGAGTTTGTTGCTATAAGCAGTCAGGAGCTATTGAAGGTTAACAAATAGAAAAATAGCCTTGTAATCAAAATTTTGTAAAAATCTTATTTACAATTTTTGTGCAAGATGGATTTAGATAATAAAGAGAGAGCTAAGAAGTAAGCAGAAAAGTAAGAAGGCTATTGAAGTAGTTTAGGCAGGATCTGAAAAGAGCCTAAACTAGAATGTGTAGAAATGTAAAAGGAAAGGATGGATGTGAGAGTAATTGCAAAGGAAGAATCTATACCATAATTGGGCTTAGGAGACTAGGACAAGGAATCATGAGGATTTCTAGGTGATTCTTTTCCTTGGCAAATGTATACAGACAAATGAGAAAATCGTGGAAATTTGCCTAGTCATGCCTAAAATGATTTGCCCTTGATCCTCATTACTGGGGACAATACTAGGGACAGAGAGATCAGTTAGGAGGAAGTTTCAGTAACCCAGGGGAGCATTGATAGAGGTTGAACTGCAGCAGGTCATGTGAAGGCAAAGAGGCATGTTTAGTAGGTAGACTGGACATTAAAATACACACAGGCACACACAGACAGAGATGTGTCTATGTATGTTTTTTTTCCTTAATCTAATATCCGAGGAAAGTGCAAAAAGAAACAAATATTTTAATTGTTTATCGAGTCAATTCTGACTGGATCTAGCATTTCGTTTTGCTATATGTTGATATCAGTTAGGTATTTTTTTAAAACTGAGATAGTAAGTCAGCTTCTGCTTGCTTCTGACTCTGCTCAGCACAGTATTCAAGACTTTTCACCCGTAGCTCTGCTCTGCTCTGTGTTTGAGTGAATGAGAATCAAATATGAAAGAATATTAGAAGCCTCATCCCTACCAGTGGATGGAGTTTGGAACTAATTCTTGACTAGAAGATCACTAGCCAAGGAAGGGTTCCTCATGGCCCTGCCTGCTTTCTGAGCTGCGTGATTTAGCACCCAGTCCCCATGGCTTGTGCTCTCTCTAATTTGAAGGAACTTAGGTCTAGTTTGACACTTGTATTAGTAACACTTGTATTATTTTCTAGGGCTGACATAACAAAGTACCACTGTCTGGGTGGCTTAAACAACAGAAATTTATTTTTTTCGCATTTGAAGGCTGGAAGTCAGAGATCAAGGCTTGATTGGTATCTTTGAGGCCTTTCTTCTTGGCTTGTGGATGGCCATCTTCTTCCTATGTCATCACGTGGTATTCCCTCTGTGTGTCTGTGTATCCTAATCCCTTCTTGTAAGGAAACCAGACATGTTGAATTAGGACCCAACCTAACGACCAATCTTATGACTCCATTTTAACTAAACTACCTCTTTAAAGACACTGTCTCCAAATACAGTCACATTCTGAAGTACTGGGGGTTAGGACTTCAAAATATGAATTTTGGGGGGATACAATTTAGCCTACAATAACACTCAAATTCTTTACAAGGACTGAAACCCTTCCTTGAATCCCAAATCACTTGGCTAGATCCTTTACAACCTACCTAGCTGTAGGCTATCCCCAGAGCAATAAATACACTTTGTCCCTGTTTTCCTGATGGTTGAACAGGGCCTGCTTTAATCTGGATCAGTCCACCTATCTGTGTTAGTCAACCTTCTGTCCCTTATTTCCCACATCTGATTGATCAGAACATCCACTAAGTTCTTCTCCTTTGACATATCTTTATTTAATCTACCAACCACATGGTCATAACACTTAGTCCAAGATCTACCCACTTTTGCAGAGATTATTATAACAGCCTCCTAACCTGTTCTTAGGCATTTCCTCCTCGTTCCCCTTCTCTCTAATCCCTTTCACCATGACAGCAATATGATTATAAAATTCCTTATATAAAATCCCTCAGTAAGAGACAACCTGTGGATTTGAAGAATATATTTACAAACCATACAACTGATGGTTAATATCCAAAATATATAAGGAACTCAACTCACTAGCAAGAAAATAACCTGATTTTTAAAATGGGAAAAGGACTAAAAAGACATTTCTCAAAAGAAGACATATAAATGGCCAACAGGTATATGAAAAATGCTCAACATCACTAATCATCAAGGAAATGAAAATTAAAACCAACGTGAAATATCACCTCACATCTTTTAGAATGGCTGTGATCAAAGAGACAAAAGATAAGTGTTGATGAGAATGTGGAATAAAAACCCCAGCACACTGTTGGTGGGAATATAAATTTAGTACAGCCACTATGGAAACAGTATGGAGGTCTCCCCCCAAATTAAAAATAGAACTACCATATGATCCAGCAACCCCACTACTGGGTATATATCCAAAGGATATGAAATCAGTATGTTAAAGAGATTTCTGCACTCCCATGTTCATTGCAGCATTATTCACAATAGCCAAGATATGGAATCAACCTAAGTGTCCATCGATAGATTAACGGATAAAGAAAATATGGTATACTTATTTATACAATGGAATACTATTCAGCCCTAAAAAAGAAGGAAATCATTTGCAAAAACTTGGATGAACCTGGAG